CAGTCACCGCTCAATGTGTGTATAGACGGCTTCATATTGCTCGATTATTTTTCTTGTCCTCTGCTCAAAGTGAGGAAATCTGTGCGTCATTCCATTTTCTTGCCTATTTTGGGTCCCTCCTCATGGCCTTCTCTGGCCATGGCTTCCCTTCCCCTTCCAGCTGTTTTCCCAATTCTACCTCGTTGGAAAGTCTTCATAACTCAAAGAATGTGAATTGGATCGAGTGAAGGTGGACAGGATCAAGGCGTGCAGGGACTGTGACACAGCTGGCCCTCGATAAGTGCAGAAGGAACGAGGGAGGAGCATGAAGGGGGAAAAGCAGGGCATGTAATTGCAGCGCACGCTTAAAGGTGGGTTTTCTGTGTGTGTGTGTGTGTGTGTGTGTGTGTGTGTGTGTGTGTAGAGGAAGGTGGGTGAGGACACAGAAGAGTGAGTCACAGGAGATTCCCTCTGGAGAGAGGGAATGGCCGAGGGGGTTGGGAAACCTTTTCCTTGTGCATCCTTCTGGTGCTGGCTGGACTTTTTTTTGTTACCACGATGGGGGCCTGTTATACTTAATCAGTGATCTATTAAGGACTTGATCTACCCAAAGGAATTTGATGCAAAGTAAATAAGAGTTAGGTCTTGTGTGTGTCAAAACCCTGTTTGCTCGGCTCCTGTGCTAACCCAGACTGAGTCCAGGTCATGGATTGTGCCCCAGTTCACCGAGAGCTTTAGAAATCCAGCCCTGAGTCACTGCCCCCAGGGCCAAGGGTTCATGTGAAGTCCTACCCTATTCCTCATCGCAGCTACTGCCGCAGATGCACGGACCTCCAGGATGGACCCTGAAACCCAAAGGTATTTTTGGCAGAACAGGTGACTGCCTGGAGCTCCTGGAGGGAAGGTCTCCCACAGCCCACTCCCTCCCATCCCTCCTGCCTTCTCTGTCCACACAACAGCACCTCACTTTCTCCTCTCCCCCGCCCCCACCCCCACCACAGCCTGTGCTGGGCAAGAGAAATACCGACTCCAGGGCATTACCCTTCTTCAGAACTCACCTGGATTGAACGTGCAACTCTTTAGGTGATGAGTTAGCTTCTCCTTGTACCTTCTTGTAAGCACTGCAGGGAAGCCAAGCAACAGTCCTCTTGGGAGTCCTGTCTGTCCTACCTGTCACCTGTCCATCTGTCACTTATCTACCTATCATCTGTCTATCTCTGCCAGCCATCTGATTTACATATATACATCATCTGTCATGCGCACACATAAATACGTGTGCATATATGAGTTTTTAGAGGTGTACGTGTACACGCACTTGCATAGCGCAGTTTTCCATGGACACCTGTGGAGCAAGTCTTAGTGTTTGTCCAGGCAGATGCTGTGTTTTCTGTGACTGTGAGGGTGGAAGGGGGAAGGGAACTCGGTCTGTGGCTGGGCCTAACCCCCAGGCAAGGAAAGAATCTGGTTTATTTGGTATATTTTTGCTGGATCAGATCGGTGAGTAGTAAACATGACTTAAGGCTTTGAAACAGATCAGTGACAAAAAGGGAATGTTTCTCTTTCTTGGTGTGCTCAAAAATCACAAACCTTCCTTACAAGAGAGGGACACCCACCCTTGGCCCAGTATCTTCACGCCTCACACCAGAGAAGCTACATTTCTCCCTGCACCCGCCCTTTCCAGAACAGAACACCTCAGGCAGCCCTGCCTGGACCTCCCCCGCACCCCACCCCGAGTCCCTGGCCCTGGCAGGCCCTTCGGCGTGGCCCGAGTGGGTCCAGGAGACGTGTGCATGCCTGGCCTGGCAACCCTTTTCTCCATTTTAATGAGTCTCATTTGCCCATAAGACTCGTTTCTTAAGTTTCTGACTCATGCCAGGCTCATTTAGTTGGGATTTTTGGCCGGATGAGTACCCAAGTTTTAACTCACATAGGAATGTTTTTCTGCCCAGTTCTGGAAACTGAAATTGCTCCTCAACACCGACCAGCTCCCCGCTGTCATTTCCTCCTGTATCCCTCGTCCTGCCGACACCTACCTACACCCTTGTCACTCTGGCTTCCAGCACACTCACACAGACACGCAGACGCACACAGGGGCCTCCAGAGACACACAGAGGTACACGGAGACGTACAGACACAGACACGCACACGGGCGTGGGCAGAGACAGACACCCAGAAACACACAGACGCACACACATATGCACACAGAATCCAGAGACACGCACGCACACGCACACGTTAACTACATACCTGCCAAGTAACCCTCAGGCTGCTAGGAGGCTGCAGGCTGGATTGTTATCTCAGTTTTCACAAGCACGGCAAGAGAGGGGACCGCTCTGCAAGGTTGTGCGAAAAGCTGCATTTCCGCTTTAATTCTGTCTCTTCTGCAGTGTTTTTTTTTTTTCTCTTTCCTCCCCTCAGAGACTTATCCTTCAAACAAGAGTCCTCTAAGGATTTATTTCCCATCTGACACCAAGCTACTGGCTCCTGATTGGGTGGAATTGTGAATTATGGAGTGCGAGAAGAATCTTCAGTAGAAGTTAATTTGTAAACATCTTTCTTTGCTGCGTCTCTTGGCATTAACCCACATCACATAGAAAGTTTCAGTCTCAGATTTTGAGTGTGGCAGAGACTTGCAGTTTTGTCAACTACCCTGGGAATGCCCCCTCTCGTTCCCAAGGGGGACGCGCGGAGAGAAAGCAGCTGGTGCGTGCCTAGCCTCCCGGAGCAGCCCTGGGCAGCCCCAGCCTCTGCCGTTGCTAATGGTGTCCCGAGCACGGCCTTGCCTTTCCCCAGGGGCCTCTGCGTGGGCAGCCCCAGGGCACTCGGGAGGCAGGAGTATCCCCCGGGGCCCTCCCTGGTGCTGCCAGCTCATGCTCGCCCTACGTGGCGCCCCAGGGTGCTCAGCCATCGGGGTGACACTCCCCATCACTGATCTCCCACGTCAGGGTCAGGTTCCACTGTGATTTTGACGCCGGGCCAGATTTCTGTTTTGAGCCCAGCTCTCTACAGACTGTTGTAGGTGGACCAGAAATAACTTTTATGGTCTGCAAAATACCTTTCTCTTGGGGCGTTTTGTTGTGCTCTGAGTACATTTTAACACAGTGAGGTAACACTCGCAGACTCGCAGAGACACGGGCCGGGAAGCGCCTCCAGAGAGCCCCATCCATCACCACGACGCCGGGCAGGCTTCACCCAAACCGCCCCAGACATAGGTAAATATCCTGTTTTCACAGGTCATCAGGAAGAGGCTCCACACGGCTCTCGGGCAGCCTGTTCCAGCGCCGGCTTCCCTTCAGCACCGTCATTATGTTGGTATTACAGGGCAACGCCCCACACCGGACCGCTGTGAACTTTAAAAAACCCAAATTTGCGTATTTTGAACCAGATGCCGCAGAGCAGCCTGATTGTCAGCACACATTTTAGCTGGGATTGAAAGATCCCATGCCCAACCCAATGCATCTGTCCTTGCGGTTGGATTCAACCGGGCGGCACTCGTTTTGCAGCAAATGCTTGAGGCTTGGCTCCCTGAGTGTCCCCAACCCCTGATCTGCACCTCTAATTAAAAGGCGAGGCTCTGCAGTTGCACCCTGGTGGGTTCCTGGCCCCAGAAGCCGGGGCTCTCTCTCCCTCAGCTGGGTCAGCGAGAGCAGGCCTGAAGGGAAAGCGGAGCTCGCTGCGTGGGGCGGGGGTTTCGCTCAGGCACACACCAAACCTCCTGACCCTTGGTTTGCACCCCAGGCCTGCAGCGAGGGCAGCTCCAAAGGACCCCAGCCCCCTGGCTCTCCCCTCTGCAGCCGCTCGCAGGAAGCCCCGACGTGGCCCAGTCACATTTTGGCAAGTGACCGTCCACGGGGCTCTGCAGTGAGATGCAGAATAGCCCTCTCCCTAGCTCTCCGCTGTTTCCCTTGGCAAAGCCCACGGTCACCAGCAACCAGATGGGTCAGGAAAACCCTGGCCACGCGCGGGCTTGAACCCAGACGGGCCGCGGCTCGCCGCGAGGCCCAGAGCGCCCCGGTTGTCTGAGGCCAGGCTCTGAAATTGACACCAGATGGGCCGGGAGGGGTAATTGCTCCGAGGGGGGAGAAAGACAACATGTCAGGACGTTTTAGTAACACCTAATTCATCCCGAGGTGATCCATAAATCTGATGGCCGCTTAAAAACAAAAGTCGAAAAATACTTGGGACCAGATTACTTCTGTGACAGCACTTCCGGCAGAGGTGAACTTTATTAGGGAGACAACATGAAGAGAGAGAAACACGTAACAACTTTTTATGGGATATTTTACGTGATTTTATTTTTTTTGCAGTAAATAAAGTGGTTACAGGGCCCCAAGGAGAAGGGCCCAGATGTTAGGGAGTTGTGTGAAATTTAGGGGAAACAAGCTGTAAAAAGCACAGTCATAAAGCAGGCTGTCAGTGCCACACATCTGGACAATACAGCTGTATGTTCCCGGGGCCTGTCGTCACCCAAAGAAAACTCAATAACCTCATTTCACCCCAATTAGGCCGCATACCAACAGGGCCAGCGTGAGCCCGCGAGCGGCGGGGAGCAGCCCTCGCGTGGCGCCTGTGTCAGGCAGTTTTGATCTTGCGTTTGAATTCGGTCACCACTAAATAAGGGATGGCTCGCGAGGCCCTCCCCACTGTTCCCAGCCCGCAGGATCCCCGCCGCCCCAGTAAGTCAGACCTGGGAGGCCGGGACAGCGACTGCCCCGGGCAGCAGCCATTCTGTAGCTTGAACCCCACCTGTCAGGCACCCCACCTACTCCCCCCTCCCTTTTGGGGCGTCTTCACACCATTGTGGGAAGCACCAGGTTCAAATCATATTGCAAAAGAAGCTGGTTTTTAGACCAGCCAAGTTATGCCACTGGGCGTGAGCCCCCAAGCACGGCCTGCGGAGGCCCCTAGGTGGCAGGACAGACATCACCGATCGAAACCGCCATTGCGTCTCTTCATCACTGACAGCCTGTGCTAGAGGTTATAAAAACACCACTTCTCCTCTTAATTGTGTTTCTTCCCAGGTGTTAATAGCAGCGAAAACCATCATGGACGCCGGCGAGAAACTAACCTTGCCGCTGATAGGGAAACTCCTCAAATTCCAGCTTCTGCAGATTAAATTGAAGGACCAGCAGCGACGGGAAAATGAAAAGAAGGTACTGTGTGCCAGGGGGGCTTGCTGAGGGCACAGGGGGAGCCCAGCCAGCTCTCCAGGGCCCCTTTCTTCCTGCCTCCCATGGCTGGCTGCTCAGCTTCTCAAGGAAAAGGCCTTGAAGAGGTAGAGAAGAGGAATTCTGCTTCCTCAGAGACAAACCCGTACAAGCTAAGTTCCCTTCTGGAGAAACAGGGCCATAGTCAGGGCACGTGGCTGTGGCTGAGGCTGTGAGTATTTAGAGTCCAGTAACAAAGAAGGGACCCAAGAAAGGGAGAGAGAGTTGGGAGAAAGAAACAGAAAATGGAGGAGTCCCCCCTGAAAAGTGAAGGTCTAACTATTTAAAGCAGTTCAGATAATATTCCATAGAAGGGCCTATTAAAGTAGTCGGCTGGATCTATACCCTCACGAGGAGGTGAATGTTTTAGCACAAGTCCGTCCCGGTTCCCATGGTGTACTTCTAATTATTTCTTCACATGCAGATTTTTTTTTTTTTTTCCATCGACTCTGCCCACCCAGGGAAATCCGTCTTGTGTTTTCCAAAGATTCATATTTTCACCCGAAAAATTACTGTCGATGCTTTTGGCAAAGTGACACCAGGTTCAAATCCATTTGCTGTTGTCATTACTCACAAGACAAGTCATTTTTCCCCATCATGCCAAAATATCTTTGGAAAGGCAAATGCTTTTGCATGTACATGTGCAGTACGTGTGTGCATGGGTGTGTATATGAAGTGAATGTACGTGTGTGTTTTACTTTATGGCCCTGAGTGGAAGAGGAAAATCAATTCAGGAGAGAAGAAAGGTAAATCAAGCCCCAATAATACCTTCTTCACCTTTACAGGACCCCCCAAATCTGGATTTCCTGTTTGAATTGGACTCTTGACAGGATAATTGTAGGGAAAAAAAATAATGATGCCACCTTATTTTTGAAATTTGGGGCTTTATGTTTTTCGAAGTGACGCGCTATATCACATCTCATTGAGGTGACACGTATTGTCCCCATAGTAGGTGGCAGAGTTTTTCATTTAGGGAAGATCTTTCCATCCCATACAAGAGATTTGTACCTTAAGAAACACTCAGAGAAGTTGAGACTCGGCAAACAAAAAATTGGAAAATTTAAAACTAGTATAGGATCATCTTTTCTTGCCTGTTTAAATTCCATACTTGCTGGGACTTTGAATTATAAAAAGTGTAGTGTGAGAATTCCTGCACTTTCTGATTGTCTTCTGTTTTCCCTGAGCATCTATAAATAAACCTAATGTGCTAGCAAGTGTCAGCTTATTTGTTGGTCACCCATGTTAAGTCTCTAATTGTGCTAGGAGTAGGTTTTAGATTTCAGTTAACAAATTTCAAGCAACAAAAAAATTGAATATCCTGGCAGCTCGGGAAAGGTTTTTGAAGCTCACTGCAATGTGAAAATATTGCTGTTCTTTTGCTCAGCACTTTTTTGGAAGTGTGAACTCTAACACGCGTAAGGGATTCTGAAGATATGAAAAGAATGTATTTGTTGAAAATTCAAGAGTTGTAAGGCATTAGGGCTTCAGTTTGAGATATACATAAAAGAGTAATAGATTAGTAAGAGAACACTGGGCAAATAAATCAGATCCATAATCTCATTTGATGCCTTCATTTAGTTTGCATTCCTGAGCGCCAGCCCCCAATATCTAAATTTGGGGCTAAATAAATCGGTGAAAACTGATTGGAGTGGAGAGGGCTCCAGAAAATACTCAGGTCAGTGTTTGAGAGATGATATAATCTCGTTTCATCAGAACAACATTGCACACCGGGTCAGTTGAAACAACTGTGGTTCATGCTTGTCAGCCAGGGAGTTTGGTAGGAAGCAAAATAAATATAAAGTATATAAAAGTCACGCCATGTTGTGGATTAGAAAATGAAAAAAAAAAAAAGCAAGAGGGCTTTCCCAAACTTGTCTTTCTAGAGCAAGTCGAGATTCTGAGACTTCTCTGGGAGGGAGTAACAGTCTCTTTGGCTTTGTACTATCAGCTTGAAATCCATGTTGCTATCTCCTTTCAAATGCTAATTATATTGCTTACATGTGCGCAGCTCAAAGAGTGTTTGAATCTTCTATGTTAAATATTTGGAATCGTATTTTTAAAAAGAAGGCTTACAAATATCCATGGCAGTTTACAGAAGATGCTAGGGAGAAGCAGACAAAAATAACTAATCACTAGTAGATCCTTGTCTTTCTCCCCAATGGTACAAATACAATGCATCGTTATGTATCAGTAGTTTATCCTGTTTTAATCAATCAAGACTTCTCTTAAAAATAAATTGCCCAATGTATCAAAAATGCCATCACTTCAGATTCCACTCATTTGTCATTCGTACCACTTTGGTCTATGCTTCACGCTGTTTGAGTTTGGCCATGAAGAATTTTGTGGGCTAATCAATAATATAAAAAATAACACAAGGAAAGATATTTCTTAGAACAGTTTGAGATCTTTGCATGTCTCTATGAATATACAGATGCTGACTCTAAACGAGTTGTGTGTATAGGAAAACCTTTATCTTTCTGGAAATACCTTGCTGATTACTTCCAATATTGTTAGCACTTCGGAACTTCTGAATAAGAATCTCAAAATTAATTTGAAATTAGGTTTTGTGTTATCTTAAAGTTTGAATGAGAGCGTTTTGTTTAGAAATGAATTTTCCTCATGCACACCATCTCAAGGTGTATCTTGCATTTTTGGTTCTACCATTATCAATTCATTAGCTTGATACACATTTATTGCAACATTTAGAGAAACAATGTGCTGGGTATATTTTCATGATAATATTAAAGTAAATTGCGTGATTTCTATTCTAGTCCCTGTTTTAATCTAGCCATCTGATTATTATATAGGGTACTGCTTTCATTTTAACTTCTTTTATAGCAACAACTTTTGTTATTTCCATTATAGTCATTTATTTCAAACCCAAGCACTTGATTATGAGTCAAAATATTTAAAATAAGGAGACTTTAGCTAAATGAAAACATTTAATCATCAAAAATGGATGAAAATTGCTATCACATGAAAAAACAATAGCCATTCAGACAATCAGACAAACTAAATCTAGTCTTCTGTGCCTTCTGTGTCTTCTGAGCTGGGCTTAGAACAGGTACACTTTTACGGAAAACAGCGGTGTATATTCAAACTGTGCTTTTTATTCATGAATTCAAACAGCTAGTCTGTATTTTCTTGGCTATTGTAAACAACTTTTTTTTTTTAAATAAAAGCAAATCAGTTCTTTCTCTTGCCAATGTAGATGCTTAGTACCGTATTTTGGGATGTACTAGAATTGAAGTGAAGGAAGATACGCTGTAAAGAAATGGTATCGGTAAACTTTCCTCAAAGCAACTCAAAATTAATCGTGGCTAAATTTGATAAGATGCCATGATGAAGCCACAAATGACCCAGAGCCTGTTCTAGCAAGGGGTGAAGAGAAATCAGGGTGTCTCTGGCAGACGGTTTCCAGCTTACTCCAGTTGAAACCCCGAAATGCTGGAACCCAGCCAATGTAATGCCATTTTTTGCGTGTGTTTTGTTTTAAAAGAAAGGCCATAGGGACATACCAGGAAATTACAGGCTGGTTAGTTTTGATTCAGTTGTGGTTAAAATCTTCAGAAACTATTTTAAGAAATCAAACAGAGGAAGAGCAGGAACTCAGTTTAGAGGGACCCATGTGGTTTCAGGAAAGAAATAACTTGCCTCACTAACTAGGTGGAATTCTTTGAGGCTGGATTATCAGAATGAGGTACTGTGAGCAACACTGTTGGATCTAAAGAGCTACAAAATCCAACAGTTCAGGGTAGATAACAATAATAAAGACTCTGTGCCTGACTTACTGGTTATACAGAACATTGCATTTGTAGGTAATTGGAATGCTTTTAATTAATGAAAGCATTTTCCAGACTTCAGGAAGAATGTAAAGAAACACTTTTAAAATAGTCATGATTTCCTATTAAAATAGCTAGTTACAGAAACAACAAATAATAATTAGCTAATGTTACTGTCAGGGGCTATACTAAGCCCTTTCTACATGTTAATAGCATTTAATCTCTCGAATGACTGATTCAGGTATAGCATCTTAGTCCCAGTTTGCAGATGTGAACACTGAAGGTTTGAAAAGTTGCGTTTCCCAAAGCTGAATTGAGGTTCAATTTTGGAGCTGGGAGTGAAACCCAAAAACTAGCAGACTCTAAAGACCCTGCTCGCAACCCCTCTGTGTACCCCTCCTGACGTGTCCCAATAAATACGCAATCCAGTGCTCCTGGCTCACAGCCAGTGGAATGCCTGCCCAGAAATGCTTCCCTGTAAGAGCGATGGCTTTGCTCGGTAACCTACCGACAGCCATCAGGCCCCGCCAAGCACATCGCACATGATATCCTGAGGTTGAAAGTGGGGGCAGGTCAAGGAAAGGACCGGAGACAAAGGTCACGGACTTAACCGGCCACGAATCCCCAAGAGAATCCTAACATCATTTCCAGTTCTACTCCCCTGCCCAGAAATGATCTGCTCTCTGGGGCAAACTTTTGAACTAAATTTCTTAGTTATTCCAAACATCCTCACCCTTTCTCTCTGCCTTTCTCCACAGTGAGGCAAGATGATGTTGGGTGACCTGTTGCTCAAGTGTCTGAATCCACAGGACCCTGCAGGAGTCGGACACCAGGCAGGGAGCAGATCCTCCCCCCATCACATAGACATGGCCTTATTCTGATTCTGTGGATTAGCCATTGCACCCCAAAAATATCAAGGTGACCCACCAGGGCGTTCTGCAGGGTTCTACAGATGGCACCATTGGGTCACGTGAACCCAGCTGCCTTCCCAGGCTTACATTTTCTACACTACGGTAGCTTTTTGGAGAAGCAATGTCTTAGCTCAATCCCAGGGGTTATAGTTTCTATTTGATGGGGAGATCAGGAAGGATGGGGGGGAGGGAGACTATGTAGAAAGTTTAGAAAAGGCAAAGCAAAACACCCATAGGGCCATAACCCCGGCAC